GTGAACCAAAAAGGAAGAAGCAGGTAAAGATAATGGATGGAAATTTTCACAGAATGTGCTCATCTCTGTTTTCAGAACTACTGCTGTACAAAGACTGCTGTGGTCCAGTTCTTGGAAGCTTTCCCAAATGAATCATGAAACCGATATTTACATCTAGGCCCCTCATTTTTTACTTTATGCGTTGCCTAAGTCTCTAAATGAAACATCCATGTTATTTACTTGTGATTTCTTTAGATCAAAGCATAAAGGACAGAATGAAATATGTTCAGAACAGAGTATTGCTTAAAAGGATAGTTCAGACCTGCTGAAGATGGTTTAGTGGAAAGTTTTGGACAATTAATATCTTACCTGTTGTAGATTGCTCTTTGAATGGCTTCCGTTTAGATAAATACTGGGTTTTCTATCCGGATTGATAATCTAACATGTAATCAGAGTGGAGCCAGGATCAAAACAACTTTAATCTTAAAAAAGTATTTTGCGTACTTTAGTTTTGACTCACTGTTATTTTATTAACCGTTATTTAAGTCCCAATGAGATCACAGATCTACACTTCACTTGTCATGTGACGTGGTTTACTTTCTGTACAGCGTATAGAAACCAGAGCTCCAACGTGCCTGGACTGTTGGTCTGTGCACAAATGGCAAATAAAGACCTTTGAACTTTGAGATCTCTGTTGCAAGGGAGGCCCGGGCCTGAAGGTGACCCAACACGCAGGTTTTTATTTGGACTGTTGGAGGAAACCAGAGTCCGTGGGAAAACCTACACAAACATGAGGAGAACATACAAACTCCACACAGAACGAACCCAGGTCCAACCCGGGGATTGAATCCAGGACCTTTTGCTGTGAGGCAACAACACTAACCACTAATCCATTGTTCAGCACAAATGTGTGATCTTCCAGCTGGAAGTCTGTGCAACAGTTAACTGCTGCTAATTTGCAAATCATTTATTTTTCAATAACTATAAAGTGTAAAACTGAAGGCAATGTAATGTTTAAAATTTACTGCAAGATGAGGTTGTTCAAAGAGTTATCTACAACAGGTGAGATGTTGGTTTTTTTACCTTTTTACAGAGCACTACTTTAAAAGATTTGAATTATCTCTTTTCGTGACCAAAGGCCCAACATTTGTTTGAGGATCAACTCGTTAGATCAGGATATAGTAAAATTTTCTACGCTAAATACACCGTACAGTTTTTTTTGTCTTGTCTGGTTTTGTTTTGTCTCGCTTCCTTGTTCTCTTGTTTATTTAGACTTTGTACTACAGCACCTTTTTACCATTCAGAAAATGTGCTGTCATGTTGCAGGTATTTAAGCTGCTGGGGATGGCGTGTTTAGCCACATTTGAAGGAAAAAAACCTGAAAGCACCACGACATAAAGAAAAACAAGGCTGCAAAATGAGCTAAGCGAACTGAAGAGCCCAAAACCAGAAAGTTGACATAAGTTTTTTTTTTTACCACACAGGGCATGATGTTCAGGTGAGCAAAGTTAAACAAACTCAACCCAAAAGGGTGTGATTGTGTTCGTCAGTCAATGACTCTCTGCTCTGGAATTCACAAGTTGAACCCACAGACTTTACAAGTTAAAGTAGGGTGAGTTAAAATAAAATAGGTATCCCCCACAATTATTATTTTTTAATCCATCCCGAAAGAAACAAAACTACATTTCCTGCTTTTTTTTTTTATTTATGAACAAAAAAAAAATACATCATCAGTCCTTTGGCATAAACTAATTAAGAAATTATGACTAAAAGTATTTTTTTAATCATTGGTTTCCATAATTAATGTACAGTACTCTAAAACCAATGGTTCCCAATACTAGTCCCTGAGGAACGCCATATCGCATGTTTTAGTTTTTTTTCCCTGCTTTAACACATCTGATTTAAATGAATGAGTGATTAACAGGTTTCTGCAGAACTCGAGGAAGTAATTAAATCTCTGAATCAGGTGTGCTGGAGCAAGAAAACAACTAAAACATGCAGGATGGTGTTCCTCAGGGACCTGGGTTGGGAACCACTGCTCTAAACTGTGGCGGCTCTAGGGGGTTGCACAAAGAGGATGTTACCAGTAAAA